TTATCATGCCATTCCATCCCAAAAAATATCTTGAGCACTGCTATTCATGTATTGTTGTAGATTCTAACCTTAAAAACCCCACATGGAATGTGGCAGTGACAGGACACATACAAGGCTTTACATTCATGATTATCAGTCAAATACTATGAACGATACTGAAACATACATGTCGTTTATTGTGAGGCACTTCGGGGTGGACCTCATTATACCATAAATCAGATTAACATATTATTCACATGAGTATACTTTGCAAAAAAAAAATTCGTGATAATGTTGAAATATAAAAAATAGCGTACATTATAGTTAGGTGAATTCTCAGATTATCGTAATTTCAAAGTTGTGGAAACAATCTTTACCTTGCCTTCATGACCAGTAGAACAATGCAGTCCATGGAATGAGATACCAAGACAAGGAAAGAGAGACAGAAAGAGACGGAGAGACAGACATAATAATTTGGAGGTCTTGTGTGGTCACACATATTGCACACATGCGGATATAACGCTGGCTCCACACCACATTATTCCGCAGTCTTTACACTGTGATGTACACTGTGATCCGTTAAATATTTACCCAATGTTAGTGGAGGCAGTGTGTGGTCTCAAACATGTTGGGAGGGAAGCACCCACACAGGCTTTAGTATACCATAGATGATTTTGTTTTCACTTATACACTCACGCAGTTATATAAACATACATAATCCAACAGACAACAATGAGTGCAGATTTGGATAACTTTAATAGATATACAGGCTGGAAACAAGTTTCTGATATCTTAGTATGGCGTCTAGAGGAATCAGTAATCAAAATGACGCATCCCACAGGCTCTTAAGAGGCTGCTCTGTCTGGTAAACAGGAAAGACTGAGGGGAAAGCCTGACACATCATCCTCGTTAGCTATGATATATGCATTGCTGGATGAAAGGCTCCCCAAGTCATCGCCATCCCTCGTGGTCAAGGCAATGTAACAGTCCATCTCGCACGAGCCAATGTCATCCCTGCATCACGATGGTGGATATCCCCTCGGGAGTTTCCTCCTTTAGCTCCCACTCCATCATTGAGCTTTGACTATCGGCTATCATCTGTCACATCAATGTTTCCTGTTTCAAGTTCACGTTTCATAACAGAGAATGTCATCTCTGTAAGGGGTGCTTGTTCTTAAATCATCGTGTCCCTCTTTCTGTCACTCAATGCGAATCCAAACATGGACATCTCATTAAAGCCAGGTTCAAGCTTCTGTACTGATGGGGATGGGTGGGGGCAGTAGAGATGTTGTGTGGGCCACCATAACGATGATATACCGCGAATGAGCGTGGAGGTGGTCGATGGCTCAATAGGACATTTGGTGGTGCAGGGCCCACCCAAAACACCCTCCTCGTACCAGTCCTGATCTCAATGCTTATTTATGCACTATTGAACATTTTATTCAATGTAATTGTCAATGTCCATTTTTATTACCCGGCATGGCGAGAAGATACGAAGCAGCACTAAAAGACAACAGAGGCTGGAGAGCAGGCAGGGCTGCTATCGAGCCCCTGTTGTCTCATCGCAGCCTACAACTAATGACTCTGGTAAAGATGAACCAATGATGTACTTGGATGACTAAAAAAAATAAGATATGTATTGTGATGTTTTTGGTTTTATATTCTCTAGGATTTAAACAATATTTTAGTGAAAGTAGGACATTAATAGGAGCACAAATTTAATAGAGCATTTTTAAGTGAGCCGCGTCAGCCTTCTTTTTTCCCTATTCGCATCTCTTTGGTGTCGCTATCTATTGTCTTATGAACTTCTGCCGTTTCAACTCAATGTTCATTTGTTACACTATAAATCCCGTCTAGCCAGTTCCCCAGTTAGTTTCGTTGGCAATGGCACGCAGCCACTAACAAAACAGTCATTGTTGGGGTGGAAAGGAGCCCAGCCAGCCAGGAAACTCGAGGCATAGATTATTTTTTATAGTACTGTATTGTATGATGAAAAATACATAAAAATAAAAGGTTATAAAAACAACTAACATGCTTTTCATGTACTAATACTAATGAGATTACTGATGCTGCATGGTGAATTCTAATAAAAAAACGAATACCTGCAACAGTTTCCATGAACCACTTTTGTCAACCTTGCCGACCACCCGTGATCCATGGACCACAGATTGGCAACCATTGTTACGGACTTACCCCCATGAAAAACTGGCTGAAATGATCAAAGGATTTCCTAACCCTTGGAAAAAAACAAACCGGTGCTAATGGGACCTGCCTCGTTGCCCTGCCCTGCTGGCTAAGGCAAGTCCTCGCTTTTGGCAGAACCGCTATATCCGAGCCGGTTTTTTTTTCTCCCTTTGATGCCTTTGCGCGTCCTGCTTCCTGTACGTCTGGCGTGAGCGCTACGGCTATTATCGCTAATTAAATACTTCCGAAGACAAACACATGTTGGAAAGCATTACAGACTCGATGAATGGTTCATTATTTTTCTTCCATGTTTCCCCCAGAATAAACCAAGTGTGACGCGTGCCAACGTGTCATGCGCCGTGGGATTCGGGAATGTATATGTGCACGTAATTAAAAATAAAATAACATAACACAAATCACGACGTTTCGATCGCAACGCCACTTGTGTTGCGATCGAAACGTCGCGATTTGTTTTATTTTATTTCTAACTACGTGAACCAAAGAGTATGGATTCCTGCAGTCACGAAAGCTTCAAATCAAGAATGTGCACATAAATTAAGTTGTATTCCATTTATACTTGTTTTGAGTCATGGTAAAACACTGCGATAGGTACCTGCAGTCAATGGGTTTCCCGAATACACTGACATAACTTAATGGAATACAATTTTCCGTGTTGCATGTAAATTGAGTACCGTGGGGATGCTATTTTCAGATCCTATAATCCATGATACACCGCAAAAAACACTAAAATATTTGTATGAGGTATGTGTCGTTCGTGCCTTTTCAGGTAAACAATGTATATTCAAACATATACAATGTGCTATTTTCATACATTTTGTACGTATAAACGAATGTATGTGATGGCGCGTTATTGACACCATTGAGGTGTGGTGGTGAATTTTGGGAATTGTCCGTTACGTGGCTAAAATTTGTGTATTTTCACCGACATGGAATTTAGGCGTTTCCGTGGACTGTGGGGGTATCGCGAATTATAATATTCACAAATTTTTGGAGTGCAGATTCTCATCTTAACATTTATCTTCTTCTGAAACAAACCTGTTCGTCTTTAATGACCATTATGTATTGATGTCTGTACTTGCTGGGTGTTTTAATAGTATCTTCCTGATTATAATTACCTGCGATTGGATGGAATTTCGATTTATAGCTTCCGTGACTGCAAGGATTCATCTTCTTTGGATCTTTCGGTAAAGTCACGTAGAATGAGAATAAAATAATAAAATAAAACAATAAAATTCTCACGACGTTTCGGCCACAACACAAGGCCACAAGGCCACTTGGCCACTTGTGTTGTGGCCGAAACGTCGTGAGAATTGTAATGTTTTATTTTATTATTTTATTCTCATTCTACGTGACTTTACCGAAAGAACCAAAGAAGATTGGATGGAATTTTTCACAATCTGTTAATTTTGACTTTATCATATTCACTTCCTGCTGAAATGCATCATTTGACCAAACATTTAGGCCGTACTTTTTTTTTTAAATCCCTTTCGTCAATATAATACGTTTATTGGAAATCACGTATAATCTATGGTTGTTAAATGGCAAACGTTTGCAGTGAAATCTTAGTAATGAATGTACCCATTGGCGCGTGTGAACGTACAAACGACATGGAAGTTCACGTCCCTGCGTGGTACATTGTCCCTCTTAGTTAAAAGGGAAAGGTGTAACCATGAAATGTCTCGCTGACACCACTGCTGACGGAGGGGCTTCCACTAGAGAGACATCGAAAGGGTATTTGGCCTACTCTTCCACGTTGATCAGACGTCTTGGAAGAGGTGGGTGCACCGACGCTTTAGTCCACCGCACGTAAACTGCAATTCGACTGTGGTGTACCCATTTCTATGCACTGTCGGGTGGACAAGGCGATGGGATTTAAGAAGCTCGCTGAGAGATGGATCTGATCTGAGGACCTCTGGATTGCAAGCCCAGTGTGCTAACGATTACACACGCAATCTCCCTTCATTTCTGAGTTAAAAAAAGTTAACTGATAGAACTGTATGGAGGCGAAACCGGTTCCTTACGGGTTTTATCATGCAGTTTATTGGTAAGCCAATAAAAACAGATTTTAACAAGCCTAGTATGGACTTGTATCCGTCATATCAATTAATTCTAACAAATGTACGCCACTTGACTACAACAAAGCGGATTGGTGGAAACCAGGATAATGGTTCATTCGGATGGATGACGACTAAACTCATCACAAGATGGAGCAAAGTCGTGGCTCTCGTCCACCAGAGGGCATCTTACCCCGGTGCAGTACCTGTCCAGATGATTCACTCGGAGGGAAGAAGACCACGATGTGACAACGTGGGTAGTAGGCATGGGCGGGTGCACACAACACAACACGCGCGCGCGTGGGATGAGAGAAAGAAGAAGCAGTAGGAGGAGGAGACGCAGGGTGACGTTGCCTGGGTGGGAATGTGGGCGTGCGGTGTTTCCCTCGGCTGGTAGGGGGGTGACAGGGGTGTGCAGGGGGGGGGGGGGTGTGTGCAAGGGGGGGGGGGTGTGCAGGGGGGGGGTAAGAAGGGGGGTTTGTAAGGGGGGGGGTGCAGGGGGTGCAGGGGGGTACAGGGGGGGGGGTGCAGGGGGGGGGTACAGGGGGGGGTGCAGGGGGGGTGTGCAGGGAGGTAAGAAGGGGGATTTGTAAGGGGGGGTGCAGGAGGGGCTGTAGGAGGGGTAGGGATGGGGGTGCGGAGGAGGGGGGTAGGAAGGGGGTGCGGAGGGGGTGTGCTAGGGGGGTAGGGAGGTGTGAGCAGGGGGGGGTGGTAGGGAGGGGTGAGCAGGGGGAGGGGTGAGCAGGGGGGTGTGGCTGTGCCAGGAGGGAGGCTGTGAACTGGGGCACAGCATCAGCAGCGCAGCCCCACGCTGCTCACTCAGTCTGCTGCTGTGCGGGCTTCAGGCGGCTGCGCCCAGCCATGTCCCGGCGGACTGCAGACCGCAGCGAGCCTTAATTGATCGCCACAGACAGGTAAAGCGTGTCCCGCGTGCCTTCACCCTGACGTGTCTGTCTGCCGTGTGTGTATGTGTGTGTGCTGTGGTGTACGGCTAAATATATATAGCCCACTGTCATTACCACATCAAGCGTGCTATTAATACACGGTGTACTGTAGGATGAAAATGAGTTGTATGGATCAGAACAATGTAATCCGCAAAGTTCTAAGGCGACAGGCTGCATGCTGTGTTCGTTCCTGTGAGAGCTTATGACCGGGTAAGGACCCATTTCGTACAGTACTGTATATAATTGTGGTAGCTTTTAAGCGACTGTGATGAATATGCGTGTTTAAGTACGCGTGCAGGTGTAGTGAGTCTTCACTCCAGGGCAGTAACGACGAGACTTGCTTGCGTTGAATGACGAAACACAAGGCCATTGTGGCTTAGACGTACGATGTACAGCCATTCATAAGTCCACTGCTGGATGGGTGACCATACTTCACCACGATGGTCAATGAAAGTATGAGTTTGTTTGGGGGGTGGTGGTGGTGGGAAGTTGGCAGGACCAGTTCGGACATCACTCGCCGCCGATGTCAGCCGTTGTTGATGAGATTAAGTGTTGAATGGGTCACGAGTGCGATGCATCGTCTGAAAGGTACAACACAACAATCTGGTGTTATCAGTCCGATCTATGCGCCACGCATTCCGGTTCACCCGAGCAACCCGGCGGTCACCCCAAAGCGCACGCCGCTTGAGACTCGACGTGGAACGCAGAGCGCATTCTAATGGGGCCCACCACCCACCCACCCGCCAGCCACGAGGGGCCGCTACATTAATCCGTGTTACAAATGTTTATTGGAAAAATATTCTTGGATGGTGACCCTGGTGACGGCGGCGAGTTCGTCACTGTTTTAATTGCGTTCACGTACAGGGGAGGATCTGCACCGGCCACGACGATTCGATATCATTGTCACGGTTGGTTTAACGGTGGATGAGATTCAAGATTTCGATGAATATTCGTCTCGTTTTGATAAAAAAAAAAATCCCCGTTTCTTACTGCGCCCTTTAATATGAACCGTGACAATGTCGTACGATTTGCTCGACCGCTTAAAAAAATAAATTAATATTAATCGGTTCTCACGCGCGCCCCGGGAGAGAGGCGCTTCCATTCGACTCGGTGGTGGTGGTGGTTGGTGGTGGTGGCGATGGCACTGCATCGTGACCCGGGAATGTGATGACCTGCAGGGTTCTACTCCTTTGCAGTGTGTGGCGGTGGTGGTGGTAGTGGTGGTGGTGGCGATGGCACTGCATCGTGACCCGGGAATGTGATGACCTGCAGGGTTCTACTCCCTTGCAGTGTGTGGCGGTGGTGGTGGTGGTGGTAGTGGTGGTGGTGGCGATGGCACTGCATCGTGACCCGGGAATGTGATGACCTGCAGGTTTCTACTCCCTTGCAGTGTGTGGCGGTGGTGGTGGTGGCGATGGCACTGCATCGTGACCCGGGAATGTGATGACCTGCAGGGTTCTACTCCCTTGCAGTGTGTGGCGGTGGTGGTGGTGGTGGTAGTGGTGGTGGTGGCGATGGCACTGCATCGTGACCCGGGAATGTGATGACCTGCAGGGTTCTTCTCCCTTGCAGTGTGTGGCGGTGGTGGTGGTAGTGGTTGTGGTGGTGGCGATGGCACTGCATCGTGACCCGGGAATGTGATGACCTGCAGGGTTCTTCTCCCTTGCAGTGTGTGGCGGTGGCGGTGGTGGTGGTGGAGCTTCCCACGCACGAACCCCCCCCCCCCTCCCTGGGGTCTCGGAGCGCTTTCGCTGGCTTCACAGATCGCCTCGCCGGCACAGGTCGCTGCTATTGCGAGGTTGTGCTTTTGGAAACAGAAGTTATGCTAATTTGATACAGTGCGTCGCACCGACGCGTTAAGAATCTACTAAATTGAATCCTTGACAATTCGGAGCACGTGCTGGATTTCCGCCATGGCAAAGGTATCGAGCGGGTGGAGCGGTGGTGCAGTGGTTAGCGGACTGCGCCTGTGAATCCGGCTCATCGCTCTCGAGAGTTCCATTCCCAGGCACCCCACTTCACCAACCCGCACTGTGAAGTACGGTAGGATTGACAAAGGGCTGTACGTTATTGTTATTATTTGCAAGTACTGTGGAATAGCAGTCTTAAGTTACGCTGTTTCAAAATTAACAGCGATGCATTGTGTGTATGAGCTCACAGAGTGCCTAGCCACGAGGGGATTGTTTAGCCACAACTGAATTTCGACAAAATGAATCTCGAATGCCATTTACGCCTGGCTCTTTATAGACTAACACAAAGTCATTTGATTGGACACTGAATGAGTCACATGAACACTCAAGAAATCACAGTTGTAATACAAATTCTTAATTGGAATCATCCAAACCATTGGTAAAGAAGGAACCCCCCTGCTACTGCATCAAGAGATGGGGCTGTAAATTAAATGGCTCACTGTATTCGTGTTCTACAGTGCATTGACACATTGGGTCGAGTCACATGCTGGCAGAGGGCCATTTAAGCCTGGCAGGGTGCAGCGTTGTTGAGCAATCAAAGAAGCAGGCGTAACGACGTGAATCGGGCTTAGATGTGTGCAAGGTGGGCGTGCACCAAATTTATATACAGGGCACATCCACCAGCAGAGGCTGGCAAGAGCGTGGTTGTGACTGCCAGCTGTGGGGGACGTAACAAGGTGCCCTTCCTTGCTCTGACTAATTCACATCTCGGTGACAAGAGTAAAGGCGCAGCACTGCAATTTCTTGCTCACGCTACTGCTGGCGAAAAGGCCTTCTGCTCGTCGGAGCTGTGGAGAACCCCCTCCAGAGAGAATATTTTGGCTGACTTTTTTCCATGCTGGTCGTACATCTTGGAAGAGGTGCAAGTACCCACACTTTACCCCACCACACGCGATCTGCCGATCGACTGATGTTCATCTTTATACTTGTGAATGGACAGAGGCGTGGGGCAGGGGAGTAGGAAACTTGCCTATTCCGCTGTTGTGCAAGGAGATTTAACCGGCGACCTCAGTCCAGTGTGGTTGCTATTCGACTACGACGGCATTACTACTGTGGTCATGCTGCTGAATGTGTTTATTTTTTTATTACACGCTTTTATTTAACTCACTCTTGTCTGTTGTCGTTATTGTATCCTCAAATCTTGTAACTCAATTTTGACCCACTTCCCAATGTGTTATCGACTGTCATACTGATGACAATACTATATTCTATCATAAAAAATAAAAACGTATATTTTAAAACAATCTTTTTTATATGTTATGTTTCGGCTTGGGTCTAATTGTCCACGCTCAACTAACGTTGGCTGTAATTGGCCACGGTCTCTTACGTTATGGCAAGCGTCGGGGCCACTTCCTGGAGTCGTGGAGTTCCTCCATTACTAGTACGATACATTTCATTAAAGCGTGTTTTAAAAAAAAAGTTTTTAAAAATGTTACTTATTTTTGATCGAATAACTAAATTTTTAAGAGTTTCCTTGTGCAGTGATGCAACTTAATTGAATCTGAGATTCACATGCTGAAATTAACCAACTCCACTGACAGACCCACTGGCATCCTGCATTTTTGTGGTTCAAGGGGTTCAGGTGTAATGTAAAGCTTATTTGGTCAGGTCTAACTTGCTATTCGTTAATATCGTGTAGGAATTAGACTATTGTGTGTGAGAGAAAACATACAAGTGAATAGAATTTGGGCAAGAGAAAGCACAGAAAGGTAGAACGTGCAACTAGAGAATGCAGTTAGTGCAGAAAGTTACAAAGGCAGAGAAAACGAATGCAGAGCCAGGGAAGCCGGGAAATCGACATGGAAGAAGTACAGTAACAACAAAAGCAGACGTATTGTGATAAAAAGCAATAATATACTTTTTGATAAGTCTCCTCGGGCCAGAATCTGGCATCCTCTCCATGTAGCTTGTGGGCTGTTGCTCCTGTTGATGTGATAAAATCAATTATTAGGCGTATGCACTGCCTTTTTATATGTGCCATGTCCCACCTTGATGTACTTTTGGCACCAGTGTTCGCCAACATCACCAAGCCAATGTTTGCGGGGTGGCGTCGTATTGGTGTTTCCATTTTGGCATATCCCTGGCAGATCAAAGTATATCTAAAAGCCAATACAGTACATGTATATGAATAGAATGGTGCTTAGTGGAAATTGTCTGATTTACCGAACGTTGAACGATCTGCCTGAGAGCCAACATCACTAAGCCAAAATATAAAAATTGCACCTTCTGTGATGAAATGTGCCCACAAAACCATGCGAGCCCTGCGGATGGCATTCGAAGGCATAGCAACTTAATCCAATAGGATTAACAGGCTGATACTGTTGACGTTCATTTATTTGGCGGTAATGCAATGGACACTACCAGATCCACCATAATTAAGGATCAGTAATGCCAGTGTGGGTTCTATAAATATATAGTAGACTATACGGCCTGTGGACAGGCCTGTGGACAGGTCGTAACGATGATAAAGATGCCTTACTTCCAGTGCATTAACCCATGCCCAGTTTAATGTTTAATGAATGTATTATGAACTGTACCATAGTAAGTGCAGTACATATAGTTTATTGTATAACAGTACATAGTTGAATAAGCACATGTAAAAAAGGTAAAGGCTTTTAATAAAAAAAATCCAAAATGTTTTGTGAGATACAATTGCGTGCATTGCTTTTATACAGGAATCTTGTACAGTTTAGAATACAATGTACAATATTAATGGCACAGTCGAATGGATAAACATTTCATCCAAAAGTAAGGTAGCAGGCAGGCATAGGTGGAGTGTGACTTCAATATTTGGGGGGGGGGGGGAGCAGGGGTTTGCTTTGTCCCTCAGATTAGGAATCGCGAGTGCACATTTATTATTTTATAATCTTAATTGTAAACTAGTGAAAATAAATTAATAAAGCGAGGGGCGTTGCCCCGTGCGCCCACCCCCCCCAAACTAAGCCCATCGTAGCAGGGACAAATGGGTTAGTACAACCGTATGTGGCATATCCACACATACGCGGAACTACATAATTGAGCTTCACGTATATATATCATTGTATACCAATCGCCTTTTTCCCCGCGTCATATTTCTAACATAAGAGTGCACTGCTTCGACATAGCCTATTGATAAATTATAATTTACACCAACAATATGTGTATTAAAGGGTGGTTATGGTGGTGAACTGGGTGGATTACAGTATTGGTAGCTGGTGTTATAACATTTAAATAATGTCCTAGTACCTGCTTGAAGGAACTTGTTAGGTATTCCCCTTTAGGCGATGAGAGTGCCACTTGCTAAATGCAGTGGTACATACTTTCAGTGGCATTGCAAGAATTGTATTTGTCACCACGAGAGAATGTACCCCGGGAAATACAGCTTGTGGTTTTGATGTCTCACTTTTGTAGTTCCACAGCAAGCTGCACCTCGGCACATTTCATATGATATTGCAACATTATTGGGATGATATAAATTTGGTAGCTTATATATTGAAAACAAATTAGCAACCCGCACATCTGGATGTGACTAACCGTAAAAGTAGCCCTCTCAGCCAGCAATATATATTTTTTTATCTTATACAGAGTCCTTTCTCCGTCTTTATCTTGCCTTCTCTGTACTTTAGATCCCAATTCATCTCAAATTCTCCCTTTGTGTTATTATCTGTTTGTATATTCCTCTGGCCTGTTTTCTAACCTCCCTCTGTAGTCCTCTCCTCCCTGTACTGTATCTCACCCACTTCCCTTCCCCCTATCTCTCTCCGTTTCTCTTTCTCACCTCTCACCCTCGCTCTCCTTATTCTCACCTCTCCCTTCCCCATCTCAATCTCTTTTGCCTCACCCTAAATACGAACAAAACAAAGGTCTTGAACAGCAAGTTTGCTAAACAATTGGAGATATCTTTCGGACGGACACATTTTGGAAAACATGTGTACCTCAGACAGCTATGAAGGCGGACTGAATTCAAAATGAATGTAAGATGATGACAGCAGCAGGTTTGAGTGCTTGTGAAAAGCTGAATTCATAATGAAAAGTAACATACCAATCTGCTGAAGAAAAATGTGTTTAACCAGTGCATGAAGTGAAGCATACTTGGAATGATATTTGATAGGCATGAAGAGGAATAATAATAAAGATGCCATGAATAGCATTTAGAATTTATCAAACTTCTATTCAGGTTGGCATTTTGTGTCTTCATGCAATCTCTGTGTAGCTGTTGCATATTTATAAATGGTATTGATAAATTCTACATATTGTAAGGATATAATTTGTGAGTGTTTGAATGACTGCATTGGTTTCCATTGAATAAAATGCCTTCATAATCTACAAAAAACAGCGATAATGATATTTAAATTAATTTGTCTTTTCTTGGTTATGATTGATAGTATTTATGGTCGAAAATATTTTAAAAATGCAGCTTGATCATATGGTTTTTTTTTTCTCAAGCTGTCGATTATTTAGTTCCCTTTGACATTTGTGAGTAATTTGTGTACACAATAAGCATGATAAAATAATGTAATAAAGAAGTGGATGAGAGGAATGATGGCTGATGGAAAAGAGTGTTGATGGAATGGCCAGCCGAAGGAGAAAATGCACCCAAAAGTATGACCGCTTGTAGAGATGCAGTGATCAGATCAGCCCATACATTGCAGCGAGATAGATTGTAGCATTGCAGAACTGTGTGGGATGCCAATGGTGTGGGGAGGCCTTTATCCAGCAATGTATTGATCAAAACTGGTGATGATGGTGAATGGAATTCCTGGCTGGTTTTATTATGGTTACAGATTTAAAATGTTCAGACATTTATAATTGTATGAATTGCATAACCTTTATTGGCTGACAGAGGGATACGATATTTGATATGATTTGCTTGAGATGTTTTCACCCCCTTAACGCCAAATGAATGGACTAGACACTTAACAGGTTGTGCGCCGACACTGTCATGTTGCGGCTCTTCAATTGCAATATCTGTTATTCATGACCGCGCACCATCTCCTCTCTCCCCACCTCCTTTTTCTTCTCTCTCAGACATACGGACGATTGCTGTTGTCAAAGGCAAGAGAGCTGCAGTAATAGTGTGGCGGTGTGATGATGTCACGAATGGGAGGCAAGTCACGAAGCATGTACCACGAGGCCCGCCACCCCGAGGCAGTGCTCTCGCAGTTGAATGCCCTCCGTCGCCGAGGGCTGCTCACCGATGTGGTGCTGCGGGCTGGGAGTGCGGCCTTTCCCTGTCACCGTGCTGTCCTGGCTGCCTGCAGCACGTACTTTCAGGCAAGCTTCTACCCTCGCCCCCCTGCAGCCACTCGTTGTCCACCACCAGCCCCTCTCCAGCCCCTCTACAGCTCACTCCACAGCTGACACCTACCTTCACCTGACAAGCTCGTATATTAATACACACATATAATTTAATGTAATAATACCTCGGCACTATTATGAAGTTGGCTGTGTTTTTTTGTTCACTTGTATATTGTGGGAAATGGAAACACTTGCTCACCCGCTGTCATTGTGGAAAAACCTATAAAATATTGTAAGTTATAGAATGATCGTGAACGTTTATATATATGTGAAAACCTCTGCATTACATATGCTTATGGGGGTGTGTCTGCAAGACCTCAATAACATGCATTGACATTGAGTGTTCATGCTTTCTGCAGGCAATGTTTGGCAGTGGATTGAGAGAGAGCCACGAGACTGAGGTGGATTTCGCCGACAGCGTCGCACCAGAGGCCCTTGGTTTACTTCTGGATTACGCGTACACGTCGCGGTTGGCGCTCAGTGAGGAGACGGCCGCAGAGGCCTTGCTGCAGGCCGCCGACATGCTGCAGTTTCCCGAGGTGCGCGATGCCTGCGCCGACTTTCTTGAACGCCGACTGAGCCCTGACAACTGCCTGGCGGTTCTCGTTTTGGCGGATGCACATGGGTGTATGAGTCTCCGTGAGCGATCTAGGCGTGCCTGCTTGAGGTATTTCCCGGCGATGGCAAGTGGAGAGGAGATTCTATCTCTCTCTGCCGATTTACTTCTTGAACTCGTAGGAAGTGAGGAGCTTGAGGTGGAAGAAGAGTGCGTGGTGCTGGAGACTTGTCTGCGTTGGGTGCGGCATGATTCTGATCACCGACATTCTCGCCTGCCTGAGTTGCTGAAACAAATTAGGCTAGCGCTGCTGCCACTGCCATACCTCACCTCACTCGTGGACAAAGAGTTATTGGTGGTATTCCAGCAGAAGAGCCAAATGCTTGTAAAGGAAGCTCTCGGCTGCAAGAGGCGTATTCTGAACAATGAGGGGGTGGTGACAGACCCTTGTGCACGACCACGTCAGTCGGGACACTCTCTTCTGCTCCTGGCTGGTCAGAGCTTCATGTGTGATAAGGTGTATTTAGTGGACCAGAAGGCTCATGAAATTGTGCCAAAGGCACAGCTACCTAATCCCCGTAAGGAGTTCAGTGCCTGTGCCGTGGGCTGCAAGGTCTACGTTACAGGTGGGCGTGGCTCTGAAAAGAGCGTCTCTAAAGATGTGTGGGTCTATGACAACCTTCACGACGAGTGGGGCCGTGTGGCCCCCATGCTTGTTGCACGATTTGGCCATGGCTCCGCTGAGCTTGGTGGGGAGTTGTACGTCGTCGGAGGCCACACGGCTGGCACGGGCCAGTGTCCTGCCTCTCCGTCTGCTGCACTGAAGCAGGTGGAGCGATATAACCCTGCAACTAACTCATGGAGCATGGTGGCTCCCCTGCGTGAGGGTGTCAGTAACGCAGCTGTTGTGAGCACGAGGGAACAGCTCTACGTGTTTGGTGGCACTGGCGGTGTGAGCCGGGAGCGGTCACCTCGTGTGCAGTGCTACCAGTTGGAAGAAAACCGGTGGAGCATCATCGGTGCCTGCCCACAACCGTGGCGGCACACATCAGCGTGCCTGCTAGGCAAGCACATCTTTGTGCTTGGAGGCGATACAGAATGTTCGGCATCGGCTGCGTACTGTTTTCACACTGAGACACACCAATGGACCCGGGTAGAAGCAGATGGGTTTACTGCCAAACGCATGAGCTGCCATGCGGTGGCCTCAGGCAACCGGCTGCATGTGGTGGGTGGCTATTTCGGAGCACAAAGAGGGAAAACTTTGGACTGCTACGAGCCAGCTTCTGATAGCTGGGAGAACGTCACGAGCATTCCTTACTCGCTGATACCTTCTGCATTTGTGAGCGTGTGGAAACACCCAACAACTTAGTCTATGAGCATGCAGGTGAGGTCCCAATGAAAAAGTTAAAACTGGCTTATTGTCTTATAAATAATGGTTAAATATATTCACTTGTAATGTTCAGGTATTCTATATCCCAAGCACATGCTCGATATTTTTTTTGGTGATTCAAAATATTAAAAAAATGTCATTTACCTTTTCAAAGTAGCTTAAGTAATGGAGTTTTAATTTTATCTGCAATATGTATTTTTCTTCCTGTAAAGCTCACTGCTTTGAAGGGTAATTTCCCGAACTGTTAACTTGTGTACGTTTCTGTCTACAAGCCCATATTGTATGATAACGGTTGTAAGCGTTTTTCTATGATTCGTAGAGGAGTTTGGTTTACTTGTAATTTTTATGACTCACTAAAGTCACTGCGTATAAGATGGATTGCTTTAACGACTGTAACTACTGCAGTCTGATTGACCATAATTGTGAATGCAATTTCACAAATGTGCAATTTTATTGTCTTTTATCCATAAATAATATGAAAGTGCTGACATAGCAGGCTCTTTAACCACCATTATTGGATTTAAAAGTCTTCTGGCCCCACACGAATGTCTGCAATCAATACGTTACTTTTACCATTTAGTTGGATGCCAACAGATCAGTTGTTCATTGCAACAGCTGAACATCTGTTGTACATAGTTGCTGTAGCTCCCTGGTGTCTTGAATAACTTAAATTGCATTCAAATACTAATCGCAAGTATTTCTTATCAGCATGCGTCGTTTTGTCGGACTGACAAGTTATACAGACTAATGTGGTTCCATATGTAAACTTAATGAAAATGTGGTTTTGTTGCCAGCGCACGACTTGAGTTTATGATTTTTGTTTTTCTTAGGTGACTGCAATGATGGTGTTGTTGAATGTAGCGCATGCTGGTCAGAAAAGCCGCTTAAAGAAATCCTGGCCACCATTTGAGACTGCCTGGTGTCTTAGAAATTCTGATGGGGTTTTTTTTCTCTCTAAAAGCTGCTCAGAACTAAACAATGAAAAGGAAGACCTGAGCCACATAAGTGGATATTGAGGAACGTGTTTGTTGTTTGAAAACAATATTGATTATTTAAGTGTTGTTATTTTTTATTACAATGATTGTGTGATATTTCAAGTGATTGTTATGCATTTTGAGTTGGTTTTGAGGTGCATGAAATATATGTCTACTGTATGGCTTTATGCGGTTTGTTGCGACTAAAACTAAAGTTAAATGGTTCATCACTGTTGCATGTAACTTAACGAAGTGCTGAAACATGATATTGTAGGTTACACTTTGCAAATCAAAGCTTTGCCTTATGTAATTGGAGGCAGCAATGTTCAATGCAGTTGCTTTTCATTGTAATTTATTGATTGATGTTGGGTTAATGTTACCTTTGTAAGATGCGGTATAATACATGACTAGATTGAAATGTGCCTGTGTACATAAAACACCTTAAAAGTTTACACTCTTAAGGTAAAGTTTATGCTTAACTGAAAGGTATTGAATTTTGATTTAAAGCTTTCGTGACTGCAGTAATTCATATTCTTGGTTCTTTCGGTAAAGTCACGTTGAAGGGAAACAATAAAATAATAAAATATATATATAACAATAAAACAATTGTTTTATATATATTTTATTGTTTCCCTTCAACGTTACTTTACCGAAAGAACCAATAATATGAAAGGTATTGGTTAAAGGAGGAGGTACATCTTTGGCCTAATTAATCTGTTTGCAGAAATTTATCATTGTGTAAAGTTTATGCTGTGAATAATGGCTGCCAAGTATTTTTTTTTTGCCTGGGCGCTATAGACCAATGCACAGAACACACCCTAGGACGAAGCTGTAGCAATCGGGCCGTGGTCCGTAACAAACACATGGTTGTGTGTATTTGTGTTGACAGCTAGGTGAAGCAGGATATATGCGCGTGCGCAGCCACAATAATATACAATATATAGGAGTGAAAGAGAACTAATGCGCCTGTGAGAAGCGAGGCAGAGGACAAGTTGAGTTGAACATTACCAGATGAAAGGTGGCAAAACTGTGAGATACGAAACATACATGGCCCAGCATATAACATGCAGATTATGAAGGCCACTGTTGACTGAGAGTAATTCATTGCAGATCCCCTGTGGCATCCATGATGCCATTTTTCTGCTGCCACATTCATTCCTATCATTTGTTTAATGCGGTCTTGCCATTTTGTTGACCGTCACACCTGTGAACATCTGTAAAAAAAAGAGCTTCATAGCTCATCGGATTCTTCCAGTCTAAATAAAGATTCTGATTCATTGTCTATGCCTCCTTCCATCACTCTTTGCTTGTGTGACATCATTGGCGAGGAATATCTGGAACTGTCCTGGCCATCCCACCTCATCAACCCGCATCGACCGGCGTGGTGTATTATAGTGTGAAGAAAATGCCATCTCTGACCAGGCATGGGGAGGATTTTGCCCACTTGACAAGAGGCTATTGATTTATTTAGTTTCATTATATACTGTATATACAGTACACTACTACTAATCATGAGTCTGCTTCACCACTTTCAGATTTAGCATCACACTCCATGGGAGGTGAATTATTAGTTTTAATGTTGAGTGCTTAGCATGAGACTTAAAGCAATAGAGAGCTGTAGGCTTTGCTTGCCCTATAATTCAAACCGAATAAACTTCGGGACAACAATTTTTGTTGAGTTGAATAACAAAAAATGTAGTTTCAGATATTCTAGTTACAAGCCTAGACTTAATTACATTGATCTCAAATAGCTCTTTATCAGTCGCTCATCTTTCGTCAGTTTGCTTCATTATATCGGCTACAGTCTTGGTTATGTTGAGTCCTAGTTCTTCGAAAACATTTGTCAACGTACAAAAATCATTCCCTGTGAAGTGAGGAACCTCCTTATTGGTGAGCAGAAATAAGAAACTTCACAAATGGGCAGTTTACACAATCGGAATCAGTTTTGATCAACCCACTACCGGATGGAGGTCTTCCCCCAGCTGTCGACATCTCTCGCGGTCCTGCAATGTAACAATCCACCAAGCACCGTGCACGTGAGCTGATTTTTGTATTGTTCCATCTCCCCGGTGGCTTCATTCTCAGGCACGTCCCCTCCCTTTGTTGCTTCTCTCATCATTCTTGACCACCGATCATTAATCTAAAATATTTGCTATACACGTGCGGATACACACGTTATGACCTGCGAAAAACCCTTGTTGCTTCTTGGAAATGTAATGCTTTGGAATTTAATTCATAGCCAAATCACTCGACAATGGTGCCACAAAAGTTTGGATGGCATTTCCACAATAATCCGTGAAGGGACCGGCAAGAAGAATGGGGTATAAACACTCGCAATGCCTCCATGCCCACCATGTCCCCGCAGGCAGAAAACCATATTTCTACCTTGTTAGTCTATGGGTCAGAGTGAAATTTGATGGTTAGTGGCCAACATTTAGGCATACCAGTTTCAATAGATAGATATAGATTGAAATAAAGGTGAATTCTTTGATAATATACTCAGTGCAACCAGCTCGGGTGGTCCCAACAAGTGAATTATTTGGCCTGGGCCAATGTACTATGAATGACTGAAAGCAATATTTTGTCATCCCTACTGCAAGATTCTATCCTCTCCTCTGTATTATTTACAAATAATATTGTTGAAATGAATATTATTCCTGAATAAACATTTAAGAAATATACAGTTTCATCCATTTATAGATATCCTATTCATTTCTAATGACACCACTGAAAAATGCGTGCTTGTTACAAGATACGTGTGTTGGATTGCTCAAGGTGGAATAATGACCAGCCACCGTTGCCCCCCCCCCCCTCCCCATATTCGCCTGCCATCACCCCACTGGATTTTTTTCTCGTGGGGTTGAATCAAAATTACATGTATATGCACGACAAAACCGAGAGCTATCAATGATCCCCGGCTTACGCACCTTGAATGTTGTGAGCAAATTACACTGGCGGTGTTGGACAAAGCGTATCAGGAGAGTGCTAAGAGATTTAAAAAGTGTATTGAGATTTGTGGGAGACGTAGAGGCATTTAAATAAAATGTTTTCTCTACAATTCTCCATTTGATTTCAGTGTGGTATCTGTAAACGGATCATGCTGAATATTTTAAAGTACTGTGCTATTTTTTTTTTGGTATGAAACAACGTTAGTTTATTTTTGAACCACATTCTGCCAAACAGCACACAATTAATATGTACACTTTTGCTCGACTCTGAACGGATGCCATGGTGTTCATGGAGGGCAGCAATCCAGCAGGTAGGAACCCAGGCAGCATGTTGTTTTGCCAGGCTGATGATTAAGTCAATGCCAGTCTGGTCCCAGGTGTGTCTGCGTAAATACTGCAGGGATACAATGGCCTGGATGACCTTTTGGCTCATGAACCTAAAGTAATAGAACATAAACAAAATACAACCATGTCTTTATTAATTTAGTAACAATACAATTTATATCATTTAAATGAATCCGATGATCTTTCAAAGTAGTTGCATGTTTTTTGTATTTTACAAATTTGCACCCCAAATTTATGCCAAAAATTATCTGTCCTTCCCCCATTTTGTCTGTAAGAGGTAAACAAACATAAAGGGTTTTTTTTTAATATTGGAACTTATGCTCTATAGATCTCTCAAAACATTTGTATTTCAAAATCACCAATTATTTAACAATCTGTAAAAACACTCTTGCCAAAACATTTCGTTAATTCTCCTATATTCCCTGGTTGTTTTCCTTTAGATTGATTCCTGAGGTACTATTCAAGTTCAGGTTAAAGTTCTATTGGAGACAAGTCACGAAAGGCACTGTGCTCCTCAATCAGCCCAACTATCTGGCCACCAGACCTCTACCCCTACCACCCTTCACCTACCCTCATCCATGCCTAGCCATAGCACCTACCTTATCACTTCACGCATGTGCCCCATACCCCGCTGCCTCTCATTCACGTCGCACCCATATGTCGCCCTCATTTACCATCACACTCCACCATGTTCCTCCTCCCATACTGCTGCAACATCAGCAGATCCTTTCCCAGCCCCTGTCCCTGCATCCATTCGGTCACCTCCCTCAATGTTATTTCGTAATTACTTATGCCTAAAAAGTATAGAAATGGATATTATTCCCCACAAGCTTTGCTTTTGTGACCAGGACAGTGCTATTTTTAAATTTTGCTATTTTCAATGAGAAAACGGGCACATATGTGTCTTTTCGTTCACATAAAGTCAGAAAAAAACATCATATGAATAAAAATTAACATGTATTTATACTAAAGTAATACAAAAATGTCTACAAAAGATTTAGGAGTGAGTCGTTTTTCGAGATTTACGATTATACTGTAAATCACTTTCACGAATCAGCCCCACAAATGTAGTCTCCCATCATGTTCTCATTGTACTGTCCTTGGTAGCGGCGTTCAAAGTCCAGAATATCCTGGTAGAAGCGTTCGCCTTGCTCCTCCGAGTACGCTCCCATGTTCTCCTTGAATTTATCAAGACAAGCATCAAGGACATGGACTTTGAGGGACATCCTACAGCCCATTGTGCCGTAGTTCTTCACCAGAGTCTCAACCAGCTCCACGTTTTTTGACCTTGTGATTGCCCAGGAAGCCACGAACCACTGCGACAAAGCTGTATCAATGCCGCTTGCTCCTTACTAGTGAGCTTCTTGGGGAATTAATTGCACTCCAGGATCTTCTTTACCTGTGGTCCGGCGAAGACACCGGCATTGACCTTTTCCTCAGACAGCTTTGGGAAGAAGTCTTTAAGGTACTTGAAGGCTGCCGACTCCTTATCTACAGCTCTGACAAGTTGTTTCATAAGGCCCAATTTGATGTGCAGTGGTGGCATCAGCACCTTCCAGGGGTCCACCAGTGGCTCCCACTTGACGTTGTTCCTCCCCACAGAGAACTTGGTCTGCTGTGGCCAGTCCCGCCTGTGGTAGTGCGCCTTGATGTCTAAATCTTTCGTAGTAATTTTTGTATTACTTTAGTATAAATAGATGTTAATTTGAATTAACATGTTTTTTCTGACTTTATGTGAATGAAAAGACACATATGCGCCCGTTTTCTCATTGAAAATATGCCAATTTCAAAATATCACTGTCCTGGTCACAAAAGCAAATTTTGTGGGAAATAATAGCCATTTTCTGTACTTTTGAGGCATGAGCAATTAGGAAATAACACTTACTACCCAGGAACAAAAAAATTGTTACACAGTGTTATCACTAATTATTTAGAGAATGTGACTGCAATAAATTTCCACATAAGTCACTTCACTGGCCAGGTCGCTTCTGAAAAAGAGCTGTATAGCTCAGTGGGCCATATCTGGTGAAACTGTTTAGTTCAAGGATAATCCTGTTACAGACATTTAAAACACATAATTGTACTTGAAAAAAACAAACGAAATCAATGCTTTTGTAGTGAGTGCTGTTTCATCTTATATGTTATGTACATGTTAAATAAGATTAAAGTAAATTTAGTCATCTTAACAAAACATTGCTGACAAATAAAGACATGAAGAGATCATCATTGGTGTTTTAAGCTGTGCCTTTTAAAGTATTGAAAATGGCATGTTATGAAATAGTTTTTCAATGTCAACGTGTAGATGTTGCTTGTAGCAACTACAATGTTCTCATACTATACTAAAATCACAATTGAATTGTAGGACTATTTATATTCATCATAGGTATGTCAACAATATACATTCTGTAAGGGTAGTCAACGAGGGTCTTGTCTTTAGGTTATGTTTGCATTATGTGAATGTTTATCCCACTCTGCTTGAATGTTTGGCTGGATTGAAGTCATGTGCTTGTTTGATTGCATTGTTTGTTTATTTGTTATTTCACTGATTTTATTTGATTTTAGCACATGTTTTGTACAAAGCAAACCTCAGCTGTCTGCACACACCAGTTATCCAAAATCCGATTTCAAATGTTTTATGAAAAGTAAGTGTAAAACGAATACAATACAAAAGTAACAAATCCAACCATAACCTCCACATCCATCTACAGTGAGGGAAAAAAGTATTTGATCCCCTTCTGATTTTGTACATTTGCCCACTGACAAAGAAATGATCAGTCTATCATTTTAATGGTAGGTTTATTTGAACAGTGAGAGACAGAAAAACAACAAGATAATCCAGAAAACGCATGTCAAAAATGTTATAAATTGATTTGCATTTTAATGAGGGAAATAAGTATTTGACCCCCTCTCAATCAGAAAGATTTCTGGCTCCCAGGTGTCTTATACAGGTAACGAGCTGAGATTAGGAGCACACTCTTGAAGGGAGTGC